GGCAAATCTCTGGATTTGCTGTGGGGGGGGGAGGTGATTTACAGTAACCCTTTTGTTTTCCAGCAGCAGTTAGAATAAAAAAGCTCGCCTGCTCCTCTGAACTAATGCTTCAATTAAATAAACTTTGGAGAGACAAGAGCCACAAATTTGCTTCTTAGCTGAAATCCTGTTGCTTAATATAGTAAAACACACTCGAGTAGGCTCTTTGAATCAGTGGGGATTTGGTGAGTCAACTGTTCTGTAAGTTCTGTTGATTCAAATGGGTCTACTCACATCGCCACTTATTATGCTACATTAAGTTGCAACTAGAGTAGGCTCCTCTGAATCAATGAAACTAGAGAGAAGTTTACTCAACAACGGTGTGCCTACTATAGCACAACTTACAACACTAAGCAAGAGTTTTTCAGCCCTTGTTTTGTTTTTCATGGGATGCCAAAGCAAGTTTAGTTCTGATACTGAAAATAAGTTTTGTCTTGGTCTGAGCCATGTGTTCAAAGCCAATTCTACACACTAGCTTATATCTGACTCTAGTGGATGGGCTTTCAAAACTTACATTTTAAAAATTAAATTGTTGAAGCTATAAGACTGCATGCTGTCACTTTAGTAACTGCACTCTAGAATGATACTCTAGCATGACAGAATGCATACTGAAACGATACGTTTACCAGATGAATGAAAACAGCACAAAAACTGTGCAAGCTTTTGAAAACACTCATCTTTTCACCAGGCAAGATGTGACACTGTTTCATACCTGGAACTTGTGTCACATTCGCCAAAACTCATCTTCACAGTTGCTGGAGAGGGAGCACGTTCTGTGCATGCTCGGAGGCAACCCCTTTTTACTATTAGTTCACTTTTTCTGGCATAGAAGAGAAAACAAATTTCCTTCTGAGTTAGGAACTAAGCCCAGTCTCTGCTTTATGACAAATAATTTACAAAGGGAGAAGAAGTAGGGGATTTGAAAATTATGGAGCCCTATTGAAAAATATTTCTTAATACAGATTAGTTAACACCAATTGTCACTCTGTCTTAAGTTATCACAACACAGTGAAAAGGGGTTTGTTCACCTTTTTTTCAAGGAAGGTTCCCAGACGGATCAATAGTAGATGTTCCAGGATGTATATGCTGACTTTAGATGAAGTGGGGTTCTTTTATACATCACAAACGGTGAGATCAACAGATACTTTGTGATTCCTTTCTTTCCTCTCCCTCACACGCCTTCTCCCCTGCTAACAATTCCCCTGCCTTTAGTAAACTTAAAGAGCCATACCCTTTTTTGCTTATGAAACTGCAAATGCCATGCATACTGATAGGACCTGCCTGAAAGAATGCTAAGCACGATCAGTTGTTCCGGACTATCCAAACCGAAGTACGTAGAAGAACGTGATCTGAAATATTAGATCCAAGGGGACTCCTACGGTACTAATTAAAACCGTGCCAGTAATAATATTTTTCTTTCATGAGTGGAACATATGCCCACTTCTAATACAGACCAAGGAAAGGGGGTGGTGGCCACCCCCTCCACAAAAAAACTAGAAATAGTAAGGCAGGCTGTGAACTTTTCTTCCCCATCCACTGACAAGGATGCCCCCCCCTCAACCAAATGTCCTTGTGCTTCAGACTTCCTGCCCCGCACCCCGATTTTTGTGTTCAACCCATCACCCCCATCCATCACCACGGACTGACCCCGCCCCCCTCCTCAAAGCAGAGGAGGGGGCTGCTCACTATTCGGTTCCCTGCACACACGGACACCCTCGCCACTATGCTCCGGCTCACCCTCCCGTGAGGCCGCCCCCGATCCGGATCTCACCCCCACCACTGTGGACTGCCTGAGTTCCAAGTCCGGCTCCTACTCCCGCCGCCGCTGATGCTGCCTGCGGGCCCCAGCCGCTGCCTGCTGCGAAGAGAGAGTTGGGCTGGACCACTGAGGGAAAAGGGGGGGAGCAGGCTTCTCATTTACCGCCACGATTTATCCCGTTACGCATACGGACATTTGCTGAGGAGGAGTGTGTCTCGTCCATATCATTCGTCCCCGCTGCCTTCTCTCGGAAGGGATTTGGGGGAGAAATGACGGGAAAGAGTAGCGGCCAAGCTTCAAACACCCCCCCCTTTACCGTGTGAAAATAGTACAGCTCAGCCCTGCGCGGCGGTTTTTGGGAAACTTGATTCGCTGTCGGCTGGACGGGTGAGTGAGAGCATGCGGCTGCTGACGTCACGAGGAAAGGGGTTGGGCCGTGGAGAACTGGCAAACGGTCGTGGAGAAAGAACGAGCCGCAAACACGTGGCTAGGGTGGGGGCGGGGGGAAAGGAGCGATGGGCTTGGAATGAAGGGGGGCTGGGGGGAGGCGAACAGACCCCATTATGTGGCGAGAGAGAGAGAGAGACACGAGGAATGAAGGGACACTTGGAGGTGGTGGTGAGGAAGACGTTTGAAAAGAAGGACATGGAGGAATTAGCAGCAAAGGAAGAGAAGGACGGACAAGAGAGGCCATGGGTTAATTTGATCCAAGTCCGGCTCCTACTCCCGCCGCCGCCGCCGCCGCTGATGCTGCCTGCGGGCCCCAGCCGCTGCCTGCTGCGAAGAGAAAGTTGGGCTGGACCACTGAGGGAAAAGGGGGGGAGCAGGCTTCTCATTTACCGCCACGATTTATCCCGTTACGCATACGGACATTTGCTGAGGAGGAGTGTGTCTCGTCCATATCATTCGTCCCCGCTGCCTTCTCTCGGAAGGGATTTGGGGGAGAAATGACGGGAAAGAGTAGCGGCCAAGCTTCAAACACCCCCCCTTTACCGTGTGAAAATAGTACAGCTCAGCCCTGCGCGGCGGTTTTTGGGAAACGTAGTTCGCTGTCGGCTGGACGGGTGAGGGAGAGCATGTGGCTGCTGATGTCGCGTGGAAAGGGGTAGAGAGGCCATGGGTTAATTTGAAAGAGGGAGGACGCGAAGACTGAGGGCTCCTGGTGTCAGGGCAGCACTTAAGAAAAGTGATCAGAGGTCCCCTGAATACATGCAGAATGTGCCTTTCCCCGCTGAGCAACCAGGGCACTTTTAGAAAATATCATCAAGCCTTACACTTGTGTCCCTGGAGACCAAGACTATGATCATCCACACTCTTGGATTTCTGATCATCACCATGTACCGGGGTGAAAGCTAGACGGTTAAGAAAGCGAAGAGGGGGGAAAAACACCTTGATTCATTTGAAATGTGGTGCTGGAGGAGAGCTTTGCCAATATCCTGGACTGCCAGAAAGACAAACTGTTACCTCTGAAGTTAAAAATATTGAAACGGAGGCTGTCCTACTTTGGGCACATCTTGAGAATACAGGATTCTCTGGAAAAGACAATAATGCTGGGAAAGGCGGAAGGCAGCGGGAAAAGAGGACCAAATACAAGATGGCCTGACTCCCTAAAAGAAGCCACAGGCTTTAGTATGTAGGAGTGAGTAGGGCTATTGAGGACAGGACATTTTGGAGATTGTTTATTCAGATAGTTGCCATGAGTCAGAGGCGACTTGATGGCACATAACAGCAACAAGAACTTATGCTTCTGATCAAAGGTCAAGGTGTTATTGATGAATTTCAAAATCCAGATGGCTCAGGTCCTTGAAACTTATGTGTAAACATCTGCCTGATCATTAAGACTGGATTAGTGGAGGGAGCAATACATCATGTAGAGAGGCAAACATCCTTCTTGATTCTAGTATCCCAGTTGTAGTATTCACTTCCTGTGGAGGCAAAATGGTGCCACCATTGGCCTCATTTAAAACCTGGCTATATGTCCAAGCATTTGAGGTGCAGCAATCATAGCTTTGTTTGGATATATTGGTTAGTAATTTACTTTAAGTGGTTTTAGAGTTATTCCTGTGAGGGTGCATCATTTTGAAATCTTTAGATTTAGGGCATAAATATTTTAACAAATTAATAATCTCTAGCCAATCTCCATGCATCAAGGATCTAGGGAACAGCTCTTTGTGATACAAGGAGCTCATTTGGTTATTCTAATAGTTTTCTTTGGACAAATTTAGATTTCAGTTAAAGCTGCATGATGGCAGAAGACACAGCTTAATCTCTGAGCAACAATTCACTAGACATCTATTTACAGTGACAGGACTCTGTGGAATAAATTCAGAGGAACTGTACTCATCATGAGCATATGCCTAAAAGCCTGGATTGTTTGTGAGCAGGAAGAAGTATGTCCAGTACAGATTACATGACTAAGAAATCAAGGGACATGGGAAGACTATGTTGACAGTTCCCTCTGGATTTCATTGAAGGGAATACATAAGAAGATCCCTTATAGACAACCAAACTACCCCAAGATGAGTTTTCACCCTATCATACTTCTTAAATAATGACTTTGCACACCACACCTCTTTTGGTCCCAAAAGATTACAGATAAAAAAAATAATGTGTATTTGGAAGTGTGTGTGTGTGTGTGTGTGTGTGTGTATGTATGTATGTATGTGTATATATTGTGAGATTAATGTAGTGAGTGCAGGATATGAAGATCATGTTCAGCAGTTCAAAATGAAACTTACTACCTGAAGCTTGTGAAACAGCAAAGTGGACATGACAAGGCATGTTTTTGTCCACACACACTTACACACACACATATATGTATGTATATGTATATATGTATGTATATATGTATATGTATGTATGTATGTATGTACAGTATATGTATATATGTATATGTGTATGTATATGTATATATGTGTATGTATATGTGTATGTATATATATATTAAAAAATGTATTTGCAAAATGCTCTCTTTCTTCGCAGCGAAGGCGAGGACATTCTATCATTCACTGTGATCATCACTTATTCCAAGATGGCACAGAGACATTCCAAGAGCCCCAATTATTTCGGATAGCTTCTTCTCACACTCCAATTTTCTTCAACCAAAGAACATGCCTCTGCTGGTCTAAAAATATCAGATGATGATATTATCACCAGTCTGCTAAGTATGGAATCAAGTTCTAGTTTCATGGAAGGAGGGCTTAGAACTGTAATACTTTATTCAGGTTGGGGGGTTACAAATAGACCTTTCTCTCCCATACCTGGGTTCCTAAGACCAAGTCCTTGAATAAACACACCACCAACAACACACATATGAAAGCAATAGACAGAGAAAGACTCTGTTTATTTTATTTCCCAGAGCTGCCCCAGGAGAAGGAAAGACAGCACCGGGGAGGGGCAGCCAGGAAGTTTCTGTATTAAAATAGCATCTTTGTAAAACATGCAGCTGGCCTGGGCATGCATCCCTCTTACCCCATCCCTCCCCTCACAGTCCACCTGAGGTTGCAATCCGAACCAGCAGGGCAGCCGTTGTTGTCATGGCACATGGCTGGCGTTCTTGACCGCTCCTGCCATGGCTAAAAAGTGAAATGAGACTGGATGCAGTGGAACAGAGCAAGGTTGGAAAACAGATGCTCAACCCATGGAATGGCTTCTCTTCTGACTCACTGGCCTGCAATAGCTCCCAATTCTTTTCTCCCTTTAATGTACACTATGGCTCCAGCAGAGGAATGCTTGGCTCTTACGAGCGTCCCCAAGTAGGAGAGGAAAGCTTTCTTCCTTTATTGGATTGACCTTTTCTCTAGCTCGTTTGTGAAGAAAGGGAACTGTGGGGCAACTTCTCCTGGGCTCTTAAGCACCTGTTCGCTCAGAGAGGTAGGGGTGGGTTTGATGGTGGAGGATCATTGCTCTGTGGACCTGTGAGAGGCTAGTGCTCAGCTAGGTGCCAGCTTTGCCCACATAGGGATAAGGGGATGCTACTATAGCAAGGGATACAGCTTGTGCTGCCTACTGGGATTGGCCTAGAAAGGAGTCCCACGCTCCCACCTAAGGGGTCAGGAGCACAAGTGAACATTACCTATCCTATCCTGCCTGTAATCCTCAGTCCGTCCTTCCTGTGTACAGCACAACACCCTTTTTGTGGCAGACCAGCCTGTCTTTCTACTTCCCTGCTCCGCCAGACCGAGCGGCTCCTGCTCCTGACCAACGGCATGGGTTGGGGCAAGGGGGGTTAACACTGCTAAGGAGCGCCCACATTCCTTGCCCTGGGCTCCACTGTCCCACAGAGTCCTCCCCTTCCAAGGGCAGGATATGTGGACTCAAGCAGAGAAGGCAGCGGGAATTTGGGGTTGTGGGGGGAGGCAGGGGAAGCAGGAGCCATCATTCCTTCTTCTCTTCAGCGCCCTCTGTCTTGCTCTGCTGCTCCTCCTCCTCCTCTTGTTCCGGCGGGCACAGAACCTCCAAACGCTCGGCTGGCCTTGGCGCCTCAATGGTGACCTCGTGAGCAACACTCATGGAGGAACGGGGAGTGACAGGAAGGCGGCCACTGACATCCGTAGCTCGGAGGCGTTGCATGAAAGTAGTGATGCGAATGGCTTTCTGGAAAGAGAAAGGCAACCTCATGCATTTGTACCTGTACTTGTGATGCGAATGGCTTTCTGGAAAGAGAAAAGCAACCTCATATGAGGCACAGGGGCCTCATAATAGCTGCCCCTGTGCTAAGTCATATCTGACTTCTTCCTAATCACTGAAGCCAATAGGAAGGGCCCCTACAGGCGATGAAAGCTGCAGTTACCTTATCATAACAAAAAAAAAGGTAATGCTGGTAAGCAGGACAGCGCCTTCCATCTGCCTTGCGTGCAAAGTAAAACTTACATCACCACCTACATCTCAGAAGCCTGTAGCATCGTTGCAGTCAGTGGCATTAAGCTGGTTCCCAGAGAAAGAGCAGAACATCGAGTTGGGAAACATTAAGGTTAAATTTAGGGCTATTTGAAAGATTGCAAGACTGCATTGTCCCCTATAAGCTGCCCCAGTTTTAATATCCTTGGGCGTAGGCCAGGACCTGTCCTTCTATCACTCTGTCCTGCCTCCCCCAGAGATATATTGAATAGTGAGAGAAGACTTCTCAGCGGCTGCTCCCAGGCTTTGGCCAATGTAGGCAAGGCTCACTCCATTTTTGTTATCTTTTTATCCACAAGCAAAGATTTTTTTCCAGATAGATTTTACTGTTCATTATTTTTATAACCTTATTTTATCTGTACTATAGAAGAAATGGTGCTAGCTACCCTAAATCCTCTAGATTTTGTCTGTGACTGGATGAAAATTATCTGATATATATATATATTGGTTGTGCTGAGGTGCTTCTGACACGAACAAAGAAAGATTTTATCTGCTTCTATGTTGTAATTATACTTTTGCATTTTAATAGAATTTTATGGAACACTGTTTGTTTGTTTACATTTTTATCCTGCCTAACCAGCAGCAAAGCCACTATTCTGGACAGCTTACAGAGAACATCAAAATAATAATATTTGTTGTGGAAAGGGCAATACTGTATAAATTAAATAAATAACATAATGTTTTAAAATTAAATTCTGTATTCACAGGGTGCTTTCTACTAAAGATACTTCTCCTTCCCTATATTTTACAGAATATAAGCATTCCACTGTGTGTGAAGCATGTTCTTTTATCAGATATTGGTTTACATGTGTTTCCAAATGGAATGCACTATTATCAGTTTACAATCTAAAATCCACAGTTGGGCAATACTTTCCTTAGGGCTAAATGAAATGCCCCCAAATTGTAAGCTTTTGAGTTATCTACAAACCTGTAGCAGATTAGAAGACACAAAAAAGCAGGGAATGAGGGATGAGATGGAACGGTCTACAAATTTGGCCAGTGAGATGGTCTAGCACTGTATATTGAATGTGTAGGCACCCTAGAATACTCAGTGGTGCTCAAAATCCCCTGTAAAGTGTGTGGATTCTATAACACAGGGCTCCTGATGGACAAATTGGTATAGAAGGATAGAATTTGAAACCACTCCTGCTATAACCAAGGTGCAAACATTATATAGATAACCCATTATTAGAAAAGGGAATCCTTGAACTGCTGAAAGTGTCTGAGTGCACTGTAAGGCCCCTTCCAACCTCAGGTAATTTGCAAATTAGTTTGCTCTGTTTTCTGATTGGTCTTCACTATGTCACTATGGGGCTTCTGTGAAGTCTGATATCTCAAATATTGAAGTCTGCCTGAATCACATCTCTCCAACAGTAAGGTGATTTCACTTCTAACTGCCATTTATCTACGAGTCCTGTTTCTACCCTTCCAGTACCATACATTCCATCACAGCTTGTACTCTCTAGCCCACACCACAGTGTCCCCTTGTAGCAAATGACTCACCCTCCACTTGGCCTTAGCAAAATTCTTTTCAATCTGGGCACAGACTCCTTCCTTGATATTCTTTTCAGAGGCAATATTTCCAGATATCCTGACAAGGGAGAGAAGGTGTAGAGTTAGGGGGTGAGAGCACATGAAGGAGAGAGGGGACAATTACATGTATCAAGTGGGAAATATAATGTCTGAGTTTTTAGTAATCCAAGGACGATTCAGTGTTTCCACAGCTTGTTTTTGTTGATATTTCTATGGAGGAACCCGAAAGAAAGAAAAGGATTTGGGAACCCTTGCAAGGCAGAAGCAGGGTTGGGGTTGGGGGGACATACTTTATGGACATTCAAAGAGAAGCTGGATGGAAGACATTCCTCCAGAAAGGATGTGAGAAAGAGTTTAACTTTGAACTGTCTAGTCAGGAAACCAGATCTGTACCCATTGCACATGGCTGTGCCTTCCTCTAACTAATTAACTTAATTGTTATAGAGAATCAAAATATCAATACAGAGACTGGGTGCAAAAATATACTTCAAAAGGCTTAAAAGATTAGACATGGTAATAAATATCCAATGAACTGTACTATAATCCCCAAACACCTGTGCCAAATAAAACTTGTTAGATTGTAAACTGCCATTAGAGTCTTTAATTGTTTTGCTACAAGGGATTAACATGCTCTTCCCCTGCCATTTTTAGAACAGGTTTGCTAGTGTGGGACGAAAGGGGTAGATAGATAGAAGCAAGTGTACTATCTAGGCCTGTATCCCAATCAAAGTACGTTAAATGATTAATCATGCAAGGAATCAACAATTTAGTCTGCAATCCTATACCTTGGAGTAAGCTCTAGTGAATAAAATTGGATGTACTTCTGAGTGGATATATATAAGATTTTACGATTGATTGGTTATATATTCATAGAGTGGCATAAGAGTGTACAATATTAGTTTTTTGAGGGGTAGAGATTTATTTCTTTGAGATGATGAACATTTGTGTTGCAGGAAGAGCCAGTCCCAAATATGTGGCAAAGAAAAACAGAATGACTGATGTGCAGCATACTTATACTCAAGATTATTCAAAATACTTGACTATATTACTAGTGCACAAATGTTCACCCTCTTCTTCACATCAAGAATAAACTGACAGCAGGGTCTGAATACGTGGTGAGAGAAGGGAAGTATTGTCCAACAGGTGCCCATCTAGATGTCTCTGTTAATTATTTAATTCTAATAGTGCACTCTTTTTATTATTATATAGTTCTAACAAGACAGCAGGAATTAATGTTATTTAAACAGGATAGATACAACTTTAGGATTCTCTAGTTCAGGGGTTGCTTTCACTCTTGCTCTGTAAAAATGTCTTAGATGCATGAAAGTTTGTCTGTGTTTCTCTGCCTCCTCTGAAACTTTAGAGGAGTTCTATATGAAAGTGGGGTGGGGTGGGAGGAGGGGTGAAGTTGAAGACGTGTTGTTTTGCCCAGTTTTTATAAGTGCATGATAAATGTTATGACTAGTCATAACAGACTTGGTCTGAAGAACATGAAACCTTGCATTCGGGAAAGAGAACACCTCATCACATTTATTATTGTTCTCTCCACCTATGAACTACAGAGTGAGAACAGGTGGATAACCCTTGGCCTTCCAGATATTTTGGACTTCAGCTCCCATAAACTGGCATAACTCCTTACCCATGGCCAGTCCTGGCAGAAGGTGATGAGAGTAGAAGTCCAAAACATCTGGAGGACCAAAAGTTCACCCCGACCGGCATAAGACAATGATGCTGATTTCCCCTGCTCCAAGGGGCACAAGGCTGCCAGTGGCATCAGCCGGTATTCTAGCAGTCCTTAGTCCCTCAGTGTAGATTGAGAGGACATTGTGCAAAGGACTGAGTTCAGAAAAGGTATAGGATTAGAAGGGCCAGTTGAAGATGTTTTGGCACCCAAAGAAAGAAAAAGAAAAAAGAAAAAAACTCACAGTTTGCATGTTTAATATTAAAGATGCTTCAAAATCTGCTACCTGAGGCAGCTGCCCTACTTTGCCAAATGACAGGACTGGCTATGGGCCCATAACCAATGGTTATGATGAGATTCTGGGAACTCGCAGTCTAAAAACAGAGTTTTTTTCAAGCTATGTGTAGGGACAGGGAATCCTCCAGATATTTTAGACTGCCATATGTTACCATTGGCCATGCTGAATGGGGGTCATGGGTGTTGTAGGCAGAAGCATCTGGAGGCCCCTTATGACAGCTAGTGCTACCACCAGGTCACAGCTCCCTGCTGGTATTTAATATCTTTTCAACAAAAGTCAGCATCCTAACAGAAGCACAGGAACAGGGTTCAGCTAACTATCTGAAGCAGAAAAGCTGGGCTGTTTTTACCTAACACATTCCCTACAAGGAGCTCACCCTCAGCCAGCCCTTTTAGCCTCATAACATGCTTTCAGAATAGGTTATAGGCACAATGATCAGCCCAAAGACACCCACACGGTTTCATGGCTAAGGAGGAATTTGGATCCAAATTTAACAGCCTTTTTGTTACAATACTGGCTGGAGAAAAAAGGGAGAGGCCTGTGGGTAATGAAAGAGAGGACCTTGTGAACTGTCCATTTGCCCCCAACTTGAAGACCCACTCACCAAATATGTCCCAGTGCTTCCTGGGCTGTGATTCGTTGGTCCTGATCAACTTCCATTAGTCGTGATACCAGTTTTTTGGCTGCAAGGGGGAAAGACAGGGATTTTAAAAACATCATTATTACTTATTACATTTCTGTTCCACCATTTCTCCACTGAATTCAAGCTACCTCTCCTCTAATAGTTGAATTGCTGGTTTCTATCCCAGACTCTTCATCTCATCACCTAGTATTTGTATATACCACTGGTTCTTAACCTTGGGTTACTCAGGAGTTTTGGACTGCAACTCCCAGAAGCCTTCACCACCAGCTGTGCTGGCTGGGGTTTCTGGGAGCTGCAGTTCAAAAGCATCTGAGTAACAAAGGTTAAGAACCACTGGTATATACCATTTTTCCTTGAGGTAAAAATAGGTGACAACATAGTCTTTTTTGAATGACTTCTATGAAAATATAATGTAATATAGTGCTCTGAATAGTAACTTTTTTTACAGATTCTACTGACTTCATTTTACCTACTAATCCTTTGTATCCAATGTGTTTTGAAGCTGATGTAATTCTTCCTTGATTATCAGTGTGGCCATTGTCTTCTTTAGTGCCTAGTTTCAGAATAAAGGTTAATATTGTGATCTTAACTTTATTAAACTTTTAGTGCCTTAATTTTATTAGTTGTATATTGTATCTGATATATTTTGAAGTGTAGATAACCTTTTCCTGACAATGTGAGAATTCTTTCTTTGATTCATTGGTTGAAAAATCTGTTCTGTAAATTATGCTTATTATAGAGTTCCTCAAAGATGGAAAGGCAGCAGTGAAGGAACTAGAAAAGGCCATCAAGTGTATGGAGACCAAGACGAGGACCATCCACACTACTGTATTCTTGATCATCATGCACGGGTGTGAAAGCTGGACAGTAAAGAAAGCTGACAACAGAAAAAAAATGATTTGTTCAAAATGAGGTGCAGTAGGTTTGGTTTGTGGATACCCTGGAATGCCAGAACGATGAATAAGTGGGTCCTAGAGCAAATCAAGGCTGACCTTTCTCTAGAAGCAAAAATGACAAAACTGAGGCTGGCCTGTTTTGGGCACATCATGAGAAGGCAAGACTCACTGGAAAAAACAATGATGCTGGGAAGAGTTGAAGGCAGCAGGAAAAAAGGAAGACCAAATATGAGACGGATTGATCCCCCAAAGAAAACCACAGACTTGAGTTTACAAGAGCTGAGCAGGTCTATTGAGGACAGAACATTAACTCATTCAGAGAGCAGCCATATGTAAGAGATGACGTGACAGCATGTAACAGCAACAGCAACAAGCTATGTTATGTAAGGCTGATGAGGTGATTTTTCGAAAATGAAACATATCTGTCTCCCCCTCCCCACCCACAAAGTCCTTTGGAATCTCTTTTATCATCAGGGAGCTGCTGGGGGGCACAGGGCAGAAGGAATTCTTTACCGAAAATCACTACTGCTGGAATTACCTTCCCACCAATGGTGATTATAATTAGAGACCTCAATCCACCATCCGGTGCCCACCCCAAAGCTTCCAGACAATAAAAGGGATTCCACTGGAGCCTCGGGATCTTCAAGAGCGAGATCCGAATTGTGTTATTTCCGAAAAATCATTCTGAATGCCTCCCTTCGAACCCTTTCAATATTAGAAAACTAGCTCAGTAAAACGTGGGCTGGGCTGAAGCCTATCTTTCTGTTATGCTTGTATGCATTTATACTAACTTGCAGTGTGTTTCTATATTCATAGTGGCTCCTGCACTTCAGTGGTGGCTGGTGGCCATTGTGGTTGGTGGGGCAGAAGGCACAGCAGCCAGCGGATGGCAAAGCCACAGATGAGAGGCTGCCGCCACTGTTTCCTCTCCCTCACACCTCAGCCAAGAGAGGCTGATAGTGGAGCCACAGGGGAAGACAGGCAGGGAAAAAGGCAGGTAGGAGTGAGCTGGCAGGATGGAGCCAGAGCCAGGGCAGTACTCTGTTTGCCCTCATGGACCAGCTGCTGCTGCCACACTGGCCATCGTTTATGCTGTTGCCTCTTTCTGCTGCCTGTGAACTTCAAGTAGGATGTGCAGCAGGGTGCGAGGATGAGCCCATTCAAAGTATACATCAAAGGGGCTAAAGTAAGTAGGGTTTGTGTCCTCCCTCCCCCCCCCCCTCTCTCTCTCTCTCTCTCACCAGCAGGAGAGATGTCATCCCAATAGGGGGAGTCAAAGCTGTAGTCCCCAGCTAGAATTTTCCGGAATATGCGGCGGTTGTGGCTATCAGTATTCTCATCATCTGTGTCGTCGTAGAATGGCGGATTCCCAGACAGCCTGTTCAGGTGGTAGTGGTGAAACAATTAGTAGGCAAGGGTAAAAAAAATAAAAAATAAAAAAATGGTTCTAAGCTTTTGACTGCAGCCAGACAAAACCTCCCAAACTCCAAGCTTACGTATAACCATGTCCTGAAATACTTTGTCCTTCAACCGGCACAACTCCAACATTATTTATTCATTTATTATATTTATTCTCCCCCTTTTCTCCAGGGAGCTCTAGGTGGTAGAGACGGTTCTATCAAAGATCTCCCAAGCCCTCATCTACACTAACCACTATACTGTATCACACTGTCTCCTGTTTCCATTTGGACTACTTCCCACTCCGTCCCTCCTTTTCTGTTACACAGGCACCCATAGACACTCACAGAATAAACATGATAACCCCGACGGCCCAGCAGTCAACTGGACGTCCATACCGTTGCCGAGCTACCACTTCAGGAGCTGTGTGGGGAGAGAAATATGGGTCAGAGAAAGTTGTGCCATATTTGGGCAGAATTAAATCCATGTTAGCTGGGAGGCAGGTGTGAAGGTTGCCATTTTCCATGCTCCTTTCTGTCAGAGGCCCTGTGCTTTCAATAAGGGAAACCTCCCCAACTACATGCTTAGTGAAAATCTGCCTCTATTTGTTTTCTGCACACTGTGCAATTTTTAAAAGCCACAGAATCTTTGTCAGGTCAGAAAGCTGGCACACCTAAAAACTTCCTAATTTTTATGGATAGCATCTAGTTCAAACTGTGGAAATGGGAAAAACTAAAACTTTGTGGTTTTAGTCCATCTCAAGGGGGGGGGAGGAAATCATATACCTACCCAAATATTCTGGGGTCCCACATGGTTCAGTAATGGCACCGTTCTCTAATCGGGAAAGATAAAAATCTCGCAGCACCACCTTGGAGCGGTTGTTCTGGTTGTAGTACATAAGATTCTCCAGCTGTAGGCAACAGTAACCAGGAGGAGGGGAAGTAAGGTCCAAATTAGCCATTATCTCTCTCTCTCTCTACACCATAGCCAAGGTACCTCTGGACCCATTTGTTCTGTTGGTTGAATGAAAAAGTCCTATCCCACACAGAACCACTAGAGGGTGGTATTTGCTCTAAGCATTTCAACATGGGGATCCAGGAATCCAGCCCTACCTTGAGGTTGCGGTGAACAATGTGCAGGTTATGTAAATAAGCTAATGCCTCCAGCACTTGCCGGATGACATTGCTGGCATCCTTTTCTGTGTAGTAGCCCTGGTCTAGGATCCAGTCAAAAACATCCCCACCGGTGGCCCTAGAGGAGACACACAGAGTCTGCTTGAAACATGGATATTGATGGAAAAGACATGGTACATAATGCACTCTCTTAGGGGCACCAGTACATTTGGAGTACAGTATCTGTACTGGAGTTGCTGAATGGCAACACAAGTCTTTTGTAATGCCATTCTCAATCAGTTATTCCCCCCCCTACAGTGGGCTCTTGACTTGAGAACTTAATCTGTATTGGAAGGCGGTTCTCAAGTCAAAAAGTTCTCAGGTCAAATCTGCATTTCCCATAGGAATGCATTGAAAACCATTTGATCCGTATCTGCTCTTTTCCGTCCATAGAAACTCATGGGAAGCTGCTATTCCTCCTTCAACCACTAGAGGGGGATATTTTGTTTCTTTTTTTCTTAGGTCAAGAAAGGTTCAGGGAAGGCAGGGAAAATACAGTCCAGGCAGTACAGTACCAAGCAGTCCGAAGACTGTCTCCCAATCCACTCTCTAAACGCTGCGAGGAGTGAGGAAGCAGACAGGCACCCTTTTCACTAGCCAACAGTTAACTGAAAGTTCACATTTTGCACTTTCCCTGCCTCCCACGTGGGTTTTTTTCAGTTTGTAACTCAAATTTAAGCACTTAAGTCAAGTCAATATTTTCCTATGAGAGCGGTTCTTAAGTCAAAATGTTCTTAACCCGGGCCGTTCTTAAGTCAAGACCCCACTGTACACAACTTGAAAAATCTGGTAATGAGCGTTGCCTTGATAGAAGAGCAGTATTTGTCCTCTAGCAAGTTAGAACAGGGATGAGACCTTCTGACCCTTTTAATGTTTTGGACTACAACAACACTCACAGTTTCTTAACTTTGAAAATACTAACATGGGCATCTGGGAGCTGAAATGAAAACATGGACAACCAAAGGTTTCCTATCCTTGGGCTAGAAGACTGCAGGGGGAGCATGCCTAGCGCCCATGAAGGAGAGAGAAGTAAATATTTCAGGCCATGAAGCCTCCACCTCTGAATTTTCGGTCATGTATAATTTCTGTGTCTGGCTAAATAGGCAGCTCGGTGTTCCTGTTAAGCCCAAACTAATAATTGTAGTAACTGCTGCAAGCATGAGATAGAAAAATGTTATTGGAGAAATGAACTATGGTCGTTAGACATTACACCGTGACAAGGGAGACTGGGTTCAAATTCCTATTTGGGATGGGAGAGCAAGCCATTACTGCCATGTTTGGTTCTTCGGTGAGAGACAAACATAATAAGATAGGCAAACGTTTTTTCATCTAGCTTCTTGAAAACCTGCCCGATCATTCTTGGTTGACAGGGAGGGACCACACAATTACTTGACCAAATGTAGATTTTAAAAAACAACATATCTGATACTGATTTTGCATTCCTGTCCAAGTTGCTACCTGGAGAGGGACCCTCCTTTTACTCTGTATCAGATGCCTGTCAGTACACCTCCATCTTTCAGTAAAACTTACAGTTCTTGGATGATGTAGAATTCCTTCCTTGTCTCAAATGTGTCAATCAGTTGCAAGATGTTGGGGTGACTCACCCTGGAAGAAGAAGAGAGGGTGGCGTGAGCATCCCAGCCCGATCATGCCAGTCCCATCATAAATCTTCCCTCTTGCCTGCTTCGTGACACCCACCTTCCTTCTGCCATGCTTAGATCTTTCTTGTATTGCCTGACTGTCACCTACCGGTTTACCTCTGTTGTCTGTACCCAAAACACTTGTTCTTGCAAAGACCAAGTCAGCAGAAATCCCAGCCTGCCCCTAAGGTCTCCTGAATAATTCATGGTGGGCTGTTAAATGTTTAAAGAGGCTAAAAACAGCTCTTGTGATGTGGGGTGAATCAGGGAATAAGGTACACAGCTTTGATGGTAAACAGAATACTAGTTGCAATTTGAGATGGATTTCATGCTCTCACCTCTTTTCATTTACTCTGTTTGGATGCTGTCTCATCCCACCAACAAATTCCATACCTTTTAAAAACAGCAAGGATATTGACCACCAAGTCAGTCAAAAAGCTCCAAATGTTTCTGTTTTCTCTCAGTGGTTGTGTACACAGCTGTAATCATTATGGCCATTCCTCTGCCCACCCCCGCCTTTATATTAGTGTTTCCAAGGGAAAAGAAGAAAAAAATGCCATTATTGATTTAAACTGATTGCCACTTCTCTTTTGCCCTTGCAAACAGTGATACAATGGGCGAAGCGAAGGTGGGATTGCTGTGATGATGAGAGCTTCACACCAACCACTGAGAGAAAACAATGACATTACACATTTTCTGAATAATAATTATCTTAGAAGTGCAGAGCTAGAAGAGACCCTATGGATCAGAGTGTCCAGCCCCAATCAAGGAGGCACAGTGAGGAATCAGACTCCCACTGAGCTATCCACCTGGATTTGGCAGCTAATATCCTTACTGTTTTTTAAGGGCATGATATTTACTGGTGTGAGTTAACAACCAAAAAGGTGTGATTTGATAATAACATTTAAAAATGTAACCTTAATATAGAAAAGATAAAAATATGGGGTTTTTTGAGGGTGACGTCCAGGTAGACAAACTGTGGATTCACACTGATGAGAAAATAATAAAGAAAATGTACACATACTTACTGGAATACGAACTGGATGATGAGAGGGTAAAGGAGACGATGATAAAATGGGCAAGTAGTTTTGGTTATAATATTGATATTGATCATTGGACAATGATGTGGAAAGATTGTTATAAAATGATTAAGCCAGTAAATTTAAGAGAAAATATCCTCAAAATGTTTTTTACAGATGGCACTACACTCCTGCAAAACTGGCAAAAATGTCAGAAGGTAGCAGCAATATCTGTTGGAAATGTAAAAAAAAAAGTAGGAACTTATTACCATATGTGGTGGACATGTGAAAAAGCCAGGGGTTATTGGTTACAGTTGTGGGAAATAATAAAAGGAATCACTCAAAAGAAATTAAATTTCAAACCTGAAAT